TGCCACCATGCTTAGCTAATTTTTTGTTATTTTTAGTAGAGTTGGGTTTTAGTCATGTTGGCCAGGCTGGTCTAAAACTCCTGGCTTCAGGTGATCCACCCACCTCAGCCTCCCAAAATGCTGGATTACAAGTGTGAGCCACCGGGCCTGGCCCCTTTCTGCCTATTTATTCAGAGAGATCTTATGTTTTTAACATTGGTGGAACTAACTTCTGTCATTGCTTTTCTTTTAAGGGTTTTCCTGGCTATTCTTCCTCTGTTTTTTATATGTTCTTTAAAATCAGCTTGTGTAGCTTCAGGAAAAAAAAAAAAAAAACCTTTTGATGTTTTTATCTGATCCATATTATATTTTATATGAGCTTTATGATGTTGAATTATCCTGTCCACAAATTAGATGCCCTTCCATATGTCCAAGTCCAGTTTTTGTTTTTGTTTTTGATTTTACAGCTGTGTTATAAAGTTTTCCTCACATAAGCTTTCCTCATTTCTTTTAAACGTTTATTCCTAAGCACAGTAGTATCTCCTTATCCTTGAGGGATATATTCCAAGATTCCCAGTGGATTACTGAAACCCTGAATATTACCAAACCCTACTGTGATCAGTCAGCAGTTTTCTGTTCATGCCTTCCACCTATAAATGTAATGTCTTGACTAAGATGCAAACTTATGCATCTTAACTAAGCACTTATCATGCACTGTGGCTGCAGCTTTGCAGTTTGAGGTGTGATATCAAAACTAGCATGATTTTTTTTTTCTCTTCACAATTTCATAGATAGAAGATTTGTTCTTACCATAGATCTTAGTAACCTCAGCATGCTGGTTTTTTCTCTCCTTATTAACTCGAGAACTTTCCCTTTTCACTTAAAGAAAGCACTTTACAACTTGTCTTTGGCATATCCAGATTGCCAGCATCACAACTCTTGTACTTTGAGGCCATTATTAAGTAAAATAAAGGTTCCTTGAATACAAGCATTGCAAATAGCACGACAATGATCTGATCACTGAGCTAGGGACTAAGTGACTCAGAGGCAGGTAGTATGTACAGTGTGGAGTGGAATGGTGAGAGCTTTCATCACACTACTCAGAACTACATGTAATTTAAAGCTTATAAATTGTTTATTTCTGGAATTTTGAGTTTAACATTTTCTAACTGAGATTGCCCATGGGTAACTGAAACCGTGGAAAGCGAAACTGCAGATAAGGGAGGACTGCCATATTTCATCTGTTTTGCTGCTAGGGTAAGGCCTTCTCTTCCATTCTGTCTTCTAACTGGATATTACTAGTGAATATGATAGCTGTTGATTTTTGTGTTAATTTGGATTATTTTATTTTGTGGTAGTTTTTAATTGACTTTCTTGGGTTTTCAGATATCTCTCAGATTACCTGAAAATTAAGATAGTTTTTCTTCTTCCTTTCTAATTTGTTTGCCTATAATTGTGGGGCGGGGGTAGAGATTTGGTCTGATTACATTGGCTAATACATCCAATTCATTAATAATAGTGGAGATAGTGGGCCTCCTTGTCTTGTTCCTGACTGTGAAATGCTAGATTTGGGTCTGAGATGTATATGTGTTTTATCACATTAAATATCCATCAATTTCTATTTCATTACTTTTTTTGTGATTTTTTAAAATCAGAAAAAGGTATTGAATTTTGTTGAATTGATAGAGATGGTTACATAATATTCTTCTTTGGCAAATATCTGGTATTGCAATAAGTAATATCAATTGATTGCCTAGTATTGATTCATCCTTAATTGCTGGAACAAATACCACTTGGTTGTGATATACTATCTTTAAATTTACTATACGATACTGTTTGTTCATATTTAATTTAGATTTGAATTTACATGGCCTCAATAACATGAAAGATTTCACCACAGTGTTTTAAAAGGCTAATTATATATGATTTAGTCATCTTTTCTAGAACTTTCCAAAGGATTGAGTATCATTGAGTATAAACAGACTCCAAGGTAGTACTTAGAAGTGTGGTAGCTAAGAACTTCATGCTGATTTCAAGTGGATGATTTCTGTCCTTCACCAAACCAGACCTCCAGTTCCTTCTTCAACATCTTTCTGTATAATTCTGTTTGAAGACCATTCATTCTTTATTGAAAAACTGGAATGCACAATTGGAATTAAATAATCATATCTTTCTCTGTTATATGTTGCTTTTATCATTGTCTCTTCAACATTGGACAGTAATTCCTTCTCTTTGCCAAATTTAGCTCCAAGAAAGCTCTTAGGTTTTAGAGTCTACCATACTCGTATACTCAAGTTAACTCCAGGTTCTGATATTGCTTTCATGAATCACATATTTAGAAAAGAGTAGAGATTTTAGCTCTGTTCAAGTGGTGCAGCATTCATTTCTTCTCAGCTGGTGGCTTTGCATCTTTTTCACCTCCTTATTTAAGTATTGAAATGTATTTATTAGTACTTTTACAAAATATTAAAATTATTTATTAGTAATAATAAAATAAAAAAATTATTTATTAGTAATATTTACAAAATATTTTGTTAATTTTTAAGCTTTTTTCTCATTCTCAGCATTTTTCTTTTGTTATATTTATACATATAAAAGAATATGTAAAATGTTTGTAAGATATAAAGGATAATAATACAGTGAGCACCAGTAAACTCATTACCTGACCCCAAAACTAGAATTTATTTTATTTTTTAGAAATGGAGTCTCACTCTGCTGCCCAGGCTGGAGTGCAGTGGTGCAGTCATAGCTCACTGCAGTGTCAAACTCTTGGCCTCAAGCAGTTTTTCCACTTTGGCCTCCAAAAGTTGTGGGATTACAGTGATCATGCCCAGCTTAGAATTTTATTAGTAACTTGCATCTGTTCTGTGTTTTTCCTGATCCCTTCCCTGTCTGTTTTGTTCACTATCCTTATTCTCTTGCTTAAACAAAAAAGTTTTGTCACATTATCTGTCCATCTATCCGTCTGTCTGTCTCTGTACACATATACACACATATATATTTTTTCTATTGGTTCACTTTCTTTGGAGAACCTTGACTGGCATACCACATGAACCAGCAATTCCATTCTTAGGTGTAGACCCAAGAAAAAATGAAAATATATGTCCACACAAAAACTTCTACATGAATGTTCACAGTAGTAGTATCCATAATAGCACAAAGTGGACACAACCCAAATATCAATCAACTGATTAGTGGATAAACAAAATGTGCTATATGTGTACAATGGAATTTTTTCAACTATCATAAGGAAAGAAATACTGATGCATGCTACTGCATGGCTGAATCTTATGGTATATAATGAATCTAATGGTATATGTTATATCTGTATCTGGTTATCTGGCTATATCTTCTGTTAATTCTGTTTCTCTGAGGAACTCTGACATACCATATGATCCAGCAATTCGACTCTGAGTATATAGATAGATATCTTTTCATGATATCTATATGTATGTAAATGTAGATATCTATTTAATAAGTAGATAGAAATGTCTATATAGAGAACAAGAGATTGAGATTTACTTTAAGGAATGGGCTTACTTGATGGTGGGGGCTGGCATATCTGAAATTTGTAGGGCAGGCTGACAGCCTGGAAACTCACATAGGACTTCTATTATAGTCTTGAGGCAGAATTTTTTCTCTAAGAAATCTCAGTTTTTACTCTTAAGGCCTTCAACTAATTGGATGAGGACCATGAACATTGTTGAGGATAATTTCCTTTACATAAAGTCAGTTGATTGTAAATGCTAATAACACTTGTCAAGGTATCTCCACAGCAACACCTAGATTATTCTTTGACCAAATAACTGGGCACTGTAGTCTAGCCCACTTGACTCAGAATTAATCCTTACATATGGTAACTTTGTGTTTAACCTTTTGAGGAACTCCCAGGTTTCTGAAGTACCACTTACATTCCCACCAGCAATGTATGAAGATTCTGATTTCTCTGCATCCTCACCAACACTTGTTAATGTCTCATTTTTTGTCATATCTGTCTTTTTTTATTAGAGCTATCCTGGTATGAAGTGGTGTCTCATTATGGAGATTTGCCTTTTTAAATTCAATATTATGTCTCTAAGATTCATTTGTGTTGTCACATGTAAGCTGTTCATTCATTTTCTCTGTGATATAATATTGTGTTAAGGTACCCCATAATTTATTCATTATTAATATTTATTCATTGTTACTATTTTAATTACTATCACTGTATTATGGATATCAATATATTTATAATAATAATTTATCCATTATTCATTGTTCTGTTGATGAATGATTCAGTGTTCAGTTTTTTGCTTCTATAAGCAGAATATTCTCATACATGTTTCCTGGTACATATGTGCAAGAGTTTTTCTAGACTGTGTATAAATCTAGGAGTGGTATTGCTGGTCCTTAGGGTATTCAGTATTCAAGTTTACCAGATAATGCACCCATGTTTTCCAAATGTCTCTATCAGTTTGTGCTCCCATTAGTATATAAGAGTTTTGTCTCTCAGTGTCCCACTTGGAATTATCAGGTCCCTTTTGAGAGAAATATCATGGGTTTCTCCATTTTCACTTCACTGAAGACTAAACATATCTTCATATGTTTATTAGTCATCTGATCCTTTTAAAAATGCTTGTCTTTGTGTCTCTTGCCCATTTTTAAACATTTGCTCATTTCTCTTATTGATATGTGTAGGTTCTTTATTTTACATGTTAATCTTTTATCAGTTACATATGTTACAGGCATCTAGTTTGTTTTTTTCCTTCGTGGTATTTTTTGATAAACAGCAGTTGCTGATTTTAATGCAGTTTTTCATTAATGCTATACCTTATACTTATTCTGTCTTAAGAAAGCCATGTTTAGATGACTAGCCATTTCATTCTTGTAGCCAAGCATGTTTATTGTTATTTTTCTTCCATCTCTCAAATGATTTGCTTATCATACTCTATAGGGATTATTCCTCTGTATGTAGTACTTTTAAAAAAAAACTTTAAACATGTCAAATAATGGAAAAGATTGGAGAAAACATCATAAGGTAATTCATACTTAAGGCCATGTCTTATAAACAGAATACATACTTAATTTTGACTGGTGAAATACTCTGCAACTCTTCTAGATGGCAGGTGATAGTAAATACACAAAAATTGTGGTTCTATCAATAGCATATTCATTCCTTCTATAACAAAGTTTATATTGATGAGAGAACAGAAGATGAAATTAAGAGACTTTACTCTCTGAGACTTAATCAAATTTAATATATATATATATATATATATATATTTTAATTAAGGAAGAGGATCACCTAGCCCGGGTAGAAGAAGCAATCACCCGTATGCTTGTGTGTGCCCTGAAAACTGCAGAAAATCCACAAAATACAAGAGCCTGGTTAAACCCTACTGAGGTAGGCAGCTTCTGGTTCAGCCCCGACTAAGACATTTCTTTTCCAGTGTAACTAAATGTATGTAACCATTTTAAAGCGTTTTTCTTTTCCCTTAGGTTGAGGAAACATCCCATGAAGTGAACTGTTGCTACCTAAATGCAGCTGTTTCTGCATTTTTTGATCGTTGCAGAACATCTAAGGTAGTTGAAATCCAAGCAGTGAGAACAGATGGAGACCACATGAAAAAGGAATTCAATGTGTGCGACCACGTGGAGGTGGGCCAAACAGGTAGCCAGAACTTAACCACAGGAATAGGCAAACCGGAGGCAACAAGTCACTTTGGGCCAGATCTGGTCCCTGTAGCACAGAGATCCGAAGAACCACCTTCACAAAGAGGAGGCATGTTTGAAAGTGATGGGAAAGACTTTGATGACAAGGATGGAGAACACTTTGGAAAACTGCGTTGTGCCAAGAGACAACAAATAATGAGCAACAGTGAAAATGCCGTTGAGGAAGAGATTGTCTCAAATACTACTACGGTTCCTTCTCAAACATTCATTTCTACGGATGACTTGCTGGACTGCTTGGTGAATCCACAAGTAACCAGGATAGTGGCACAACTTTTGATACAAAGAAGAAGTTTATGATTCTAGTGGAAGATGACTTTTAAAATAACATTTTTTAAATATCTATTTTTAAGTAGTAGGATCGTAAAATAAAGATGAACCAGCAAAAGTTCAGTTTGCGTGTTTGTAAATGTATTTATCCTTACTGAATTACATTTCAGTCTATTGCCACCGCCTTTCATGCACATTTCTCTTTGGCCAAACTGGCTGTTCTTTACTTGTAAGTTTTTTTCCTCCCTCATGCCATCCTTTCAGCCTGTCTCAAATGTAAGTCCCAAGTATTTCCAGCAGGAAGTAATCTCTCCATCAGCCTCAGGGGGCCAGCCTGCTGCTTACTTTTGCAGATAAAGTTTTACTGGAACATGGCATGCCATTCATTTACATATTGTCTATGGTGGCTTCAGGATTACGATGGCAGTATTGAGTAGTGACAGAGTATCTGGCCCAGAAAGCTAGAAATATAGACTATCTGTCCCTTTATAGAAAAGAAAAACTTTGCCACCCTCTAGTATAATGGATCTACTGGATTTGGAGTCTAGCCTTGCTCTGAGGTGATCTCGGTTCTAACAGCTGCAGAATTCTCACGGTTAACTCCTGTCATTCAGAGCAGGATCAATCAGGAGAAAAGTAGTTGGGGGTCCAGTATGAGGTCTCTTTAGGCAGGAACTCAGACATCTAGGAACACCAGTCCTGGGACTAAAACGGTCTCTCCAACAGTGAATAAAGGTTTAGCTCAGTGAAATTGATCCCACTCTCATTACATTTGCAAGATCCAGGGATAATTAATTAGCATTACTAAGAAGGAATTTAGAAATTAGAAAAGCATATTGATCTGAGTAACCATGCATGAACAAATACAAAACAGAAAAGATACACAAAGGCACCTTTGAGATGAACTGATCACTGCCTATCCTACTGTCCTCGAGGTAAGAGCATCAGTAAATCCAAAGAAAGTATGTGTTTTCAAAGGAAGGAGGGTGTTGTTATGTAAGCAAGCCCAGGGAATGAAAGGTCTGAAAAGAGCCCTTCTGTGGCACTTACCACCATCTGACCACTATGTATTTATGAATTTCATTACTGTCTATCTCTCCCAATCAGAATGTAACTCCTGAGGGTAGGGACTTTGATTATTGCTGTTATTTGCAGAGCCACAATGAGTTGCCAGCATCTAGTAGGTGCTTAATAAATAATTGACTGAGCGAATAATAAAAATGAGAATGTATTGACGATACCTCATCAAATACATTGGGACAGAATGTTACGGCCAAAGGTAAGGTAGCTGTTATTCTTGGTATATTCCTATTGCAGAAATAGATATCTTTTACTGCAGAGAGTCTATGGTTGATGCCTGCTACTCCTTTGCCCACTTTTTCAAGCTGCAGATAGTGACCTATTAGTTATAAAATCAGTGTAGTGGGTGAGACCAGCATTTTTTTAAAAAATGGAATAGAATAATTTCAGTGAACTGGAATACTGTATTATTTCAGGAAACGTTTTATGAAATATTAAGGTAAGTTTATCATAAAATTTTTGTTATGTCTGTGTATGTATTGGGCTCAATATAAAATTTATTTTTTAGTGTAGGTTGGGGTCAGGAAAGTTTACAAGGTGTTTTGTTTGTGTGTGTGTGTGTGGTTTTTTTTTTTTGCATTTTAGATTTTGGGGTACATGTGAAGAACATGCAAGATTGTTGCATAGGTACACACATGGCAGTGTGATGTGCTGCCTTCCTCCCCTTCACCTGTATCTGGCATTTCTCCCCATGCTATCTCTCCCCAACTCCCCACCTCTGCTGTCCCTCCCCTATTTCCCCCCAACAGACCCCAGTGTGTAATGCTTCCCTCCCTGTGTCCCTGTGTTCTTATTGTTCAACACCTACCTATGAGTGAGAACATGCGGTGTTTGATTTTCTGCTCTTGTGTCAGTTTGCTAAGAATGATGGTTTCCAGGTTCATCCATGTCCCTACAAAGGACACAAACTCATCGTTTTTGTGGCTGCATAGTATTCCATGGTGTACATGTGCCACATTTTCCTTGTCCAGTCTATCATTGATGGGCACTTGGGTTGGTTCCAAGTGTTTGCTATTGTAAACAGTGCTGCAACGAACATTCGTGTGCATGTGTCCTTATAGTAGAATGATTTATAATCCTTTGGATATATACCCAGTAATGGGATTGCTGGGTCAAATGGAATTTCTAAGTCCTTGAGGAATCACCACACTGTCTTCCACAATGGTTGAACTAATTTACACTCCCACCAACAGTGTAAAAGTGTTCCTGTTTCTCCACATCCTCTCCAGCATCTGTTGTCTCCAGATTTTTTAACGATCACCATTCTAACTGGCATGAGATGGTATCTCAATGTGGTTTTGATTTGCATTTCTCTAATGACCAGTGATGATGAGCATTTTTTGTTTGTTGGCCTCATATATGTCTTCTTTTCAAAAGTGTCTGTTCATATCCTTCGCCCACTTTTGAATGGGCTTGTTTTTTTCTTGTAAATCTGTTTTAGTTCTTTGTAGATTCTGGATATTAGCCCTTTGTCCGATGGGTAGATTGCAAAATTTTTTTCCCATTCTGTTGGTTGCCAATTCACTCTAATGACTGTTTCGTTTGCCATGCAGAAGCTGTGGAGTTTGATTAGGTCCCGTTTGTCTTATTTTGGCTTTTGTTGCCAATGCTTTTGGTATTTTGGTCACAAAGTCCTTGCCTACGCCTATGTCCTGAATTGTTTGGCCTAGATTTTCTTCTAGGGTTTTTACGGTGTTAGGTCTTATGCTTAAGTCTTTAATCCGTCTGGAGTTAATTTTAGTGTAAGGTGTCAGGAAGGGGTCCAGTTTCTGCTTTCTGCACATGGTTAGCCAGTTTTCCCAGCACCATTTATTATAAAGGGAATCCTTTCCCCATTGCTTGTTTTTGTCAGGTTTGTCAAAGATCAGATGGTTGTAGATGTGTGGTGTTGCCTCCATGGCCTCTGTTCTGTTCCATTGGTCTGTATCTCTGTTTTGGTACCAGTACCATGCTGTTTTGATTACTGTAGCCTTGCAGTATATTTTGAAGTCCGGTAGTGTGATGCCTCTGGCTTTGTTCTTTTTGCTTAGAATTGGCTATGTGGGCTCTCTTTTGGTTCCATATGAAGTTTAAGGCGTTCTTTTCCAGTTCTATGAAGAAGGTTATTGGTAGCTTGATGGGGATAGCATTGAATCTGTAAATTACTTTGGGCAGTATGACCATTTTCATGATATTGATTACAAGGTGTTTTGAGAAAAAACATTTAATTCAGCTGGAGTTAAATCTTCAACATGCTGAAACCTAGGAGAAGAGTTAACACATTGGTATGTATCGATTTCTATGGTATGAAATGGATTATGGAGGATAATTTCCTGATTTCGTAGAGATTATGAAGCAGCAAGAGATTCTGACTATCTGCAGAAAGTGATGTGAGAAAAGAGAGTGAAAGGGGGGCTGTCAGCCACTGCGGTAGCAGGGTCCCATTGTATCCTGCATTTCACAGGTGAGCCTGCCTGAGTGAGTGAAATCATTGATTAAAGAGACCCTCAGCAGGGTGCAGTGGCTCATGCCTGTAATCCCAGCACTTTGAGAGGCCAAGGTAGGCAGATCACCTGAGGTCAGGAGTTCAAGACCAGCCTGGCCAACATGGTAAAACCTTGTCTTTACTAAAAATACAAAATTAGCTGGGTATGGTGGTGCAGGCATGCAGTCCCAGCTACTCGGGAGGCTGGGGCAGGAGAATCGCTTGAACCTGGGAGATGGAGGTTGCAGTGAGCCAAGATCATGCCGTTGCACTCCAGCCTGGGCAACGAGGGTGAAACTGTCTCAGGAAA